ATAATAAAATCCTCAAAAAAGGCCTAAGTTTAATCATAATATAATTGATATTTTGTTAATAATCTGAAATATATAAGCCTAAAAAAAAGGGCAATAATATGTCTTCTAAAAACTTTAAAGGTCTATAAAAATACAAAAACTTGGGATATAATTGTATACGACTTTATTTTTCTTTAAATATAAGATTTAGAATAATTAAAATGTTTATTTATAATATTTTAATGTATAACCTTCCTAGCCAGGAATTCGTTTGCATTTTTTTTTTTTTTTTTTTGTGGTATCTAGGGTGTCTGGGTCAACTTGCCGCATCTTATTAATAATCTCTCGGGACCTAAGTTAAACAGGGCTAAGTAAGCTTCAACGGTACTCTTATTAGTAAAGTGAGAATTCGACCTTCAAAACTTCTGAATAAACATCACAAGAGTCTCAAACGAAGGTCAAGCTACCTAAAATATGTTTGTGCCATCATAGTTGGGACTGTGAGAGTACTTGTGGATAAATCATAAAAGAATTACCAGACTTCTGCACTGAATGACATCACACCAAGAAAAATATATGATTTTCTGTCTGTAAAATACTTACCTCTTGTTTGGACCTTTTCAATCTGCCATATTATGCACCAGCTGTTGAAGAAGTTAAGCAGATGATTAGAACAAAGGGTTTTTAGCATCCGAAAATTCAGCTTTTAACGGGATTAGGATGCAAATGGAAGATATATAGAAGATGGAAAAAGAGAAAATGAAAAACAAACAAGAGGCAGGTATGTGCAATGAGCGAGAGTAGTTGCAAAATCCATTTTACACTCACTTTGGGAGGAGGTGATGATGATTTGTCGAGAGGTTGCCAAGAAGATAAGAGGAGCACTTGGAGGTGTACAAAATGTTGGAGTTGTCGATACTGTCAGGCCTAATGCGTAACACGAGGCATCGGGTCCGCTGCTCGGATCAGCGGTGCCAATCCCTGGGACTGGTGGTGCGGACGCCGAGCCGTAGTGCGCTTTGGGCTTTTTACAGTATAACCGCTGTAGGATGTTAAGTATAATTCTTTATTGGGTTGGGCTTAGGAATATGAAATCCTTTGTAAATAGGTTTAGTCCTTAAACATAGTATATAAACATACTTTCTCTTGTTGGTGAGGAAACAATCATAGGGCAATTTATTTGTAACAGAGAGGTGAGCGATATTGAATAATATTGACTCAGAGGATGTGCCCATAAGGTGAACCAGGGATAAACCCGCATGTTGATTTTGCATTGTTTATGTTGGATTTGTTTACTGTTATTTTGTCTGGTTTGTTGTCTCTTTTCGTCACAAAAGAGACATGACATATAGTATGGGGTTCCCCTTACTAAGACCATGCAATGAAATACAAATATAATCTGAAAGACAACATAAGCAATAATGGAAAATAGGTACCGATATATGTTAATCAAGAGGTAAACGACTTTTTCCACCCAAGGTTGCCTAATGAATGCGCGTCTACAATCGCTCGTTTGTAATGAATTAGGGGGTTGGTGGATAAGAAGCTTTGACGAGGTTTTGATTAAGGCTTGATGATCGGAAAAAGAATAAGATGCGGATTTGAGTAGTAAATATGTTCAGAATGTGGCCTAGAGAGATAGTCGGAATATAAATTTGGTGAAAAAGTGGTATTTGAAACTTTTTTTTTATGAGAAAATCATAAGTCAAACCTTGGGGTGGGAAAAAAGTGCCGTTTTACTTTACTAGTTCTATTCATAACCACACAGTCATTGCATTCAACACTTGTGTTATCAAGTCATAAATAAGATCAAAATTAATTAATTTGAATTCTTTTGAAACGGACAATATAATGTACTTTATCGTCTGGGTTACAATTTACAAACAAGTATTTTTCCATAGTTTTGTATTGTATCAATTTACTCTTATGTGATTTTTGTTGAAGAATATACTCGGGGGATGGTTCAAGAGGTGATAGAAAATGTGGATGTCACATAAATCAGTAATTATCACAGCTCCAATCAACATTTGACCACGAAAATGGCAAATATTACTACTTTCTGTTATGTATCTTCAACATTAAATTAGTTTTAAGTCATCATCAGGCAAATTCTTTCCCCACGTTTCATCAAGTTAAATGGACTTATAAAGTTTTTTTTTTCTTTTTTCCTTAACCGTGGTATCTGGGTCAGTTTACGCACACTTCAACTAATCTCTAGAGTTTATGGAATACCCTACAAACCCAATAAACTAGGTAAGTCACAATTATGCATTGTAGTAGGTGACTCCAAGGTTTAAACCCAAAAAGTCAACTAATGGAGCACACCTGCTTGACCACTAGGCCAACCCCTTGGGTTGTAGGGAAGCTACTTGATGAAGAGTAGACAAATTCAAGAGTAAAACAATATCAATATGATTAAGAGCTTCCTATTACTCCTACTTGCTTGTGTGTATATATATATATTCAATCAAACTTTATGCCTTATTTACATTATTTGAATGTTAATAAACCAAGAACTGCCACACTCACATAAGATTATATCAATAAATTAACAGTAATATTACACTGACAAATCTTTTTTACTAACTTTCTCTCACAAATCCGATTTGATAGCTCGTGATTGATTAGCTTGCAAATGAGTCCTGCATATCAACAATGGGTCCTGCCTGACCAAAATTATAATAAATAATTATACTCACTAATGCATTATTCTACATTCTAAACTCCTTCCCTAATCCCTTTAATTAAAATAATAATAATCAAATAAATTTGTGTTACACTAACATATCCTTTAAATATAATAGTTTCAGAATTCAGGTATACTATATAAGCTTATAATACATTTAGTTATGATTAAAATAACATATTGATCAGCTATCAATACATTGGTTAGGTTATAATCAATTTGTTTTTTTACAAATTGACAAACAATACAATTAATGAAAACCCACATGAGAAAAATTTTAATAGTTTTAAACTGGGTTATAATGGATCAAATCAATTAAACTGGTATTAATTCATAGGTTCGAATCCCCCTGACTATTAAGATTTAATCGGGTGGTCATGGTTAGGGTGTAATTCTAGTTGAGCCGCTTGCGAGCTGCTCGGGCTCTGCTCAAGTCAAGCTCCTGTAGCTCGTGTGTCTAGTGGAGCTGAGTTCGAGATTCTCCATACTCGGCTTGAGCAACTTGCAAGCTTACTTGAGCTTGACATTGAGGGGAGCTATAAAATTTTTGCAAATTTTGGGGAGGTCTATATTACTTACCATTTTGTTTTCTAAATTATATAAAGTGACAAAGTCATCCTCTTCAAATACTAACCTAGTTCTTCGTCTCTCAGCCAACACACTCCTCTCCATCGACTCACTCGTAGCACTTGCCTCCATCTCTGACCAAAATCCTAACCTAGTTCTTCTTCTCTCCGTTGACTCACTCCTCTCCTCCTTAGTCTTATGGTGGTGGAGTCTCAATTGAATGGAAGGCTCTGAATTTCAGTTCAAGTCCATATGTGTAAGATGTGTTGTTCATTCTAGGTTGTTGATGTGAATTGCATGGATTTCCTTTCCTAATGTGGTGATAATGTCTTCCTTATTTTTTGATGATTGCTTTGTTCTAAGGTTTGTTGGTTTGGCTCTCTATTTGTGTGATAGTCTATTTAGACTGGTTGTTCAATGTTATTCTTTCAGTCTATACAAGTTGTAGTACTCTATCTTGAGTCAGGTGATTCAAGTTTGAGCTCGAGTTCAAACTCGATTTGGCTTGATTACCACCTCATCGAGCTTGAGCTTCATTTTGACCAAGTTGTAATTGAGCTGAGCCCGAGCTCAACAGTTGAAGCTCGATTGAGCTCAAGCTCCAACTATTGTAGCTGAGCCTAACCCAAGCTTCTCAATACTTAGTTCAGTTTGGCTAGATTACACCCCTAATCATGGTGGTGGGATGCTGTGCTAATCACCTACAGAGATTAGTCGAGGTACGTATATACTGGTCTGGACATCTTGTTTTAAAAAAAAAGAAAAAATTAAATTACTTGCGGTATACATAATTAGACTACAATATTTTTTGTCATTAGGATATATATAATGACTACAATAGTTTTGTAATTAATTAATGTAGCAATAATTCATATATTAAAATGATAAATCTTATAGTAATCTAATTTATTAGAACAGATTAATAGAAGCTAGAGATTAACCCGTTTTACAGATAGACCATTGACCTAGCTAGCCATATTATTGGAGAAATTAAAAAAAAAAAAAAANCAAGGTGGGGTTTGGCCCCAGTGCAGGTGGCTGTTTATCCTCTTCAACATACTGCCATAATCCTTGTCCTCTCAGGAACGTTTTCATTTTGACAGCCCAAATGTGATATTGATCCCCATTGAAGGTTGGAGGAGATAGAGAGGTTGAGGGTTGTGCCATTGAGTCAGTTTAAGTGATGCTTGGAACTCATTTCAGCGTAACAGGGGTTGAGAAAATGTAGAAGAAAGATGAGATTTTCAGGCCCTTAAGATCAATGAAGCTCTGATACCATTTGTTGGTTCTTGGAAGAGAAGTCTAAATGTAAAGGATGAATATTTGCAATGAAGGAGACGGCAAAAAGACCCTTCTTAGTCTATGTATTTCATTCATAAAACAGAGTCATTTATACAGACTTTTTAACACTGTATTACCTACTGCAATATAATAAACCTATTACAAATCAACTTTAGCAAAAAACATGCACCTAACCAAGTCTAAGTCTCAACTAAACAAGACACAAAATCTACATTTAAATGGCTAAATATCTGCTCCACAACCACTGCAAACTTAACAAAATAAACATGAGCTATAACTTTGGCTCCAAAACATATTTGAATATCCACCTGAAAGGTTGTCCCATTTCCAGCAGATTATCACCTACATCATCGGTAGCATCTCTATCTTTTCTCCTCAAACAAACTGCTGCTACCATCTCTTTGGTCCAAAACCAATTCTTCTCCTGAGTGAAGTCGAAAATTCTCTTGCCCCACAACCGTATCAAATGGATTCTTTTGAAATTAATAACGTTAAAGTTGAGAAGGCAAATGCAATCCTGAAGCATCTCCATCTTCGGAAGCTGGCAAATTTGTTCAGGATAATTGAGATATGTGTTCTTCTGATCATGGTCTTACGATTTTCCACTTAACTCCCACTTGCTGTCAAGAATTCTGGTAAATATTTCAATGACTCAACAGTTGTCCTTGTTAGCACACGCTTTGTTTTGATAATCGAAAACGCAATAGCTGACATTCTTTTTGTGCAATCAGGAAAGTTTCTAGCTCATGATTCTAGCAGAAAGAATCCTGGAAATGATTACTATGAAGAGTATGTGGAGAAGAGCAAAAAGACCGAAAACTCTCATCGGTATGAGGTCATGTACAGGGAAAAACAGAGCAAATGTCAAGAGAATATAGTTAGTGTGGGCACACATACATCCTGCAAAACCAAGATTTTTAGAAGAAGTCAATCAGAAAAATTCAAGTCTCTGAATGGCAATAAATCTTGTCGGGAACTGTGGAGATTGGGTACGAAGAAGTACAAGAAAAGTACTAATTCTGAGGAGAAAGTGGTGAAAAATTCATCCCCTATAGATGACATGAGCAATGAAGAGTTCAACAGATGACCGAGGCTTTCATTGCAAGGCAGCATATGTTTCGAATAACAGAAGAACACTTTATGATTTAATGGTTACTCATATATTAGCATAATCAAATCATTGCTCTACTTTCTTTTTTTTCTTTTACGTTACATAAAAATCTTTCTGTAAACTGCTATGTCATATCAGCAATGAAAAATAATGTCATCTATATACATCAAGACCAGTTTCTCGGCTGATCAATGAGAATCTGAATTGATGTCAAAAGCCAATGAGTANCTAAATTTCCTAGATGGATTGTGGTCAAGCTGTGGAGATGAGAGGATCATAGTGTTCACAACCAATCACAAACACAAACTTGACCCTGCATTGTTGCGCCCCGGTCGTATGGATGTGCATGTCCACATGTCCTATTGCACTCCATTTGCATTCAAAATTCTGGCCTCCAATTACCTTGGCACCACACAGCATCCACTTTTCATAGAGATTGAAGAACTGATAGTGGAAACCAAGGTGACTCCAGCAGACATCGCAGAGCAGCTGATGAAGGATGAGGATGCTGAAAATGTGCTCAGAGGCCTTATTGAGTTTCTTGAAAATAAGAGGAGAGAAAATGATGAAAATAAAGCGAGCGAAGCTGAAAAGGTGGCAATAGAAGAAGAAGGTAAGCAACAACTCGAGGAAAATGCAGTTGGAGAAGGGACAATAATAATTGAATAAACACGGTAGCTTGAGTAAAGTGTAATATAGAGGTATGCAAGAAACAGTAGTTTCTGAACAAAATTATGGCTACAGTAGTAGGCTTTGGCCTGAAATATTATTGTTATGATGGATGATAATGATTTAACCACTAGGTACTGTGCTAGGATATTTGCATTGCATTTTCTAGACTTGTCATGGCCAAATAAAAAGCTCTTTGCGCACATGTTGTGTTCCCTAAAACTGCAGGGTGATTACCTAGAACAAAAGTAATGGAATTTTGTTTCAGAACGAAATTAAATAAATCTCATACCACAGGACTCGTTTCAACCAATTGCTTATCCCACTGGTCAATTGTTTATTTTTAACTCTACTTTAAACGTGATGTGATGAAAGGTATATATATTCAGTCTCATTTTCATCTTGCAGCGACAGTGCAATTTTGTCCATAATATATAAAAAAAAAAAAATCTGTAACTACCATATATCAGTTCAAAAAATCTTTCACGGGCAAAGACGTCAGCTTATTCTTGGTTTCATGTACATCTATGTACAATAATTGAACTGGTTTTGAATGACTACGGGAAAGTCATAGTAAAACTCTGGATAAAGCCATGGAATTGAAGGAAGTTCTTCACATGAATGGAGGAGAAGGCGAAACAAGTTATGCCAACAATTCTTTGATCCAAGTCTCTCTCTCTCTCTCACTCACACAATTTATATCAGAAATTTTTGTACTATTTTCTCTAGTTGAGATAACCATTGATTAATTGTTCCTCTCATTTTGTTTTTTAAGAAAGAAGCTATGTTAATACCTTTCGTCTATCATCCACTGCTCCAGGCCGACTTCCGTCGCTGCTCCATTCTCATCGTCCTCCTCCTCAGTCGTCATCGTCCTACTCTACTTCTCCTTAGCTTCACCTTCCTCTTCAGGTACGATTTTCGCTTTTTTGATTATTTATTTGAATGTTTTAGTTTCTGTTTAGTTGCTGAGAAAATTAAAGGACGTTAAAGAAAGTTTGAGATTTTTTATGACGTAATTTTTGCAGAGGTGTTTGGACAGTGTTTATTTTGTTATTGGATAGTAATTTTTGGATTTTACAGATCTGATTCGGTGGTTTTGGTTTGTACTTTCTGTTTGGTTGACAAGAAAGTGCAGGAAAATGCAAAATAAAATAAAATTTGAGTTTGATACTGTAATTTGTACCAAGGAGTTTGAAGAGTGTTGCTTTCTTAATTGAATTGAAATTTTTGGATATCTGTCGATTGAGGAATGTTTGATTGCGATGAATGAGGCGGGGATTTTTCCCTTAGTCTGCGATTGGACGGGGACGGGGACGTCGTTTCCGCGCGGGGCGGGGACTGAGATTCCCCATCATCATCCCCGTAGTGGGGTCGGGGAATGGTGACGGGACAGGGTATGGGAAGTCAGGCCCCACCCCCTTGTCATCCCAGTTAGCACTGATGTAGGAAAATCTTGAATATTTTAATAGTACTAGAATTTTAATTCATTATTTTAGTATTAAAAAAACTCGAACTAAGCAGACATTATCTTGGATATTTTATTTATTTTTCCAAGTAGAATTATGATTAACCCACTATAAATATGGTTGTTATGTTTCAAGTTATTCAATAAGCTCTCTAATAAAATCTCTTATTCCTTTTTTCTTTTACGTTACTTTGGGAGATCATCACTCACCACCATACTGAAAAGAAACATGCTCTTCAGTACTACTACCACCCAGATGCCATCTATCAAGACTATAGTTTCTGTTGCCGCCTCAGCAGCTGTCGCGGCGATGTTTGTTCTGACACTTGCATGGGTCGGGAATTTATAGACAGTTTTATGTAACGTAAAAGAAAAAAGGAATAAGAGAAATTATTTGATTATGCTAATATATGGGTAACCATTAAATCACAGCGTATTCTTCTGTTATTCAAAACTTATACTGCCTTGCAATAAAAGCCTCATTCATCAGTCATCTGTTGAAACTCTTCCTTGCTCATGTCATCTACGATGGATGAATTTTTCACCACTTTCTTCCCAGAAATATTGTTTTAAAACCCGACCTGTTGTGTCATGTGTGAGACCCGACAAGGTAACGGGGTCACGGCCCAAGTTTTGAAACAATGCTTATACAATTTGCGTACTTCTCCAAATGCAACCTTTTAATTTGGAGTATGTGAAGCAATGTAAGTGATTGACTTCGATAGTGATTATATTTATAAATACCAATAATCAAAGAAAGTGACAACACACTTAGAAAACCAGAGTATGACAAATTTTTAAACTAAGATTATTGAAACAAATTCAAAGCATAATTATCCATGACAAGAGATCAGTTATCCAACATCCAAATCTCTTTCAAGAAGGGCATAATCGAGAAAAGCTGCAATACAAACAGCGATAGCAGATAGCTTCCAAGAACAAAGGAAAAATCAAGTCTGGAATAGCACGAAAATACAGGGACCCTAAATCACCTTAGAACCACCAAATCTATGAGGAACTAAAGGATTCTCACTGCNTGATCAATATATGAGAAAATTTTTCTTCTCTTCAATTTGTTTAACGTCGTTTTCTCTCAAAACTCAACATGGTATCAGAGCTTCGATAAGGGGCCAAAATACTTGATTCTTCAACTCTTCGAATCATCTCAAATCAAATCTTCTTTCTTCTCAATCAATCAGGAATCAGTCTTGATCCTTTCGATTCACGTTTCTGGAGGCTGTTATTTTCTCTCTGATTCATTAACCTAAGTGAATCCCAATCTTTGATTCTTGATTTTTTTTTTCTTCAAAATCAAACTCATGGCAACTGAAGGAAATAGCTCAACTGAAGATCAGAACATGCATACGTCAGGAGGACAAGCTATTCAAAAGGAGGATACGATTGATTTCAATAATCCTCTGTTCCTGCATCCATCTGATACACCAGGTTCAATCCTTGTATCTTTTCAATTAAATGGTGTGGATAATTACTCTCTTTGAAGTAGGTCAATGAGAATAGCTTTATTAGCAAAAAACAAACTAGGATTTATAGATGGATCATGTACCAGAACTTCAGTTTCCGCAAGCATGTATCAGTAGTGGGATAGGTGTAATGCCATTGTATTGTCTTGGATCATGAATTCTGTAACTAAAGAGTTGATAAGTGGTATTGTGTATGCATCTAATGCTCATTTAGTCTGGAAAGATTTACAAGAGCGTTTTGATAAAGTCAATGGTTCAAGAATTTTTCAATTGCACAGAGATATTGTTACTCTTACACAAGGCAGTTTAACAATATCAGCATATTTTACTCGATTGAAATTACTATGGGATGAATACTCTTCCATCATCCAACTGCCTTCATGTGATTGTGCCATGTCCAAATCATTTGTAGATCACATGCAAAATCAGAAACTACTCCAATTTCTGATGGGATTGAATGAGACATACATTCAACCCCGAGGACAAATTTTGATGATGACACCTTTACCATCAATTAATCAGGCTTACTCTATGTTAATTACTGAAGAAAGTCAGAGGAATATCAACACTCATTCACCAGCTGATACACCTTTAGAATCTACTGTATTGTTTTCATCTTCACATCAATCAACCAGATCCAAAAAAAACTGGAATTTAGTATATGAACATTGTAATGTCAAAGGACATAAGAAGGAGAATTGTTACCGGTTGATTGGATATCCACCTGATTTTAAGTTCACTAAGAAGAAAGGATCATATCAACAATCATCTGCTGCTCACAATGTTACTTCTTCTGATCAGGGAGATACTCACACCAATGTAATCTCCTCAACACCAGATTCATCTAAGTCAAAGTCATCAGCTCTTTTTACAAAAGAACAATATGCTGAGATCTTGAAGCTGCTACACAGAGACACATCACCTTCTCCTTTGACTGATATTAATGCTAACATGGCAGGTATACAATGTTACCTTTCTTCTCTTAGCAATAAGCAATCTTGGATCTTGGATACTGGTGCTAGCCATCATATGACACACTGTGTTAAGCAGTTAGTTGATTTGATTTCTCCTGTTGTCTCTCCATCAGTAAGACTCCCAAATGGTCATATATCAGAAGTTTCTCACATAGGCTCTTGTTTTCTCAGTCCTACTCAGAAAATCAACAATGTTCTTTATGTTCCTGATTTCAAGTTTAACCTGATCTCCATTGCCAAGCCCACTAAGGACTTATCTTGTTCTGTGTCTTTTTTTCCTGATTTTTGTGTAATTCAGGACCTCTCAAATGGGCATGTGAAGGGGATTGGTAAACAAACTGAGGGACTCTATTTTCTGCTGCCACAGTCACCATCAGTATTAGCTCATTCAAGATCATTTTCACCCGATGAAGTCTCTCATAGCTCATCTTCAACTAATGCTGTCTCTCATGCTGTTATTCCAAGTTTTCCAGTTTCGAATAATACCAAGCAGTGTATACTTAGTTCTTCTGAGTTGTGGCACAAACGCTTGGGACATGTACCTATGTCTAAATTCAAATATTATTCTGCAATCAAACATGCTTTTGTTAAGGATAATCATGGTTTTGATTGTCATATTTGTCCTCTTGCCAAGCAAACTTGAATGCCATTCACAGCAAGCCATAGTAGAGCTTTTGCACCTTTTATTTTAATTCACATGGATGTATGGGGACCTTATTCTCAGCCTACACATAATGGACACAGGTTTTTCTTAACCTTGGTTGATGACTTCACCAGAACTACTTGGATATTCTTAATGCGGCACAAGCATGAAACAATCATACATCTCAAGCAATTTTTTGCTCTTGTATATACTCAATTTTCTGCCACTATCAAGATTGTTAGATCAGATAATGGGAGTGAATTTTTTAATTCACAATGTGATGCTTTCTTTACTTCTTTAGGGATTGTTCACCAAAGCTCTTGTGTAGCCATTCCTCAGCAAAATGGCGTAGTAGAAAGGAAGCATAGACATCTTCTTGAAGTGGCAAGGGCATTAAGGATTCAAGCAAACATTCCTATATCCTATTGGAGTGAGTGCATCCTTACTGCTTGTTACATCATCAATCGCCTACCCATTTCAGTTCTTTCTAACAGAAGTCCATACGAATTACTCCACTCTAGACCTCCTTCTGTGGAGCATTTCAAGGTGTTTGGGTGCTTATGCTATGCTGCCAACTTCACTTCTAAAGATAAACTGGGTGTTAGAAGTATTCCTTCCATTTTTCTTGGTTATTCAACAACTCAAGAAGGATACAAACTCCTCTCTATTGCTACTCGAAAATTGTTTGTCAGTAGAGATGTGCATTTCCTAGAGCATATTTTTCCTTTTCGGTCTGCCATTTCATCT